ATCTTGGGAGAGCAAACTTTGAACAAGAAATCGGAAGCAGTTCTTTGAATTTTACTGCGGCCCCGATTGAAAAATAGGACTTCTCATCAGAATTATTGCTCCTCAGAGGCTAAGCCCTCATTTATTTTTAGTGTACAATAATTTATTACAAATGAAGAAAAATCACATTTCAAATATCAGCTGTAAGAACATGGTCTGTTATGCTGATTTCTCATCAATATTTTTGAGACTACCTTGAGGGAAAAATTTCAGAATTGACAATGCTTTAAGGCCACATGTGCTAGTCATTCCACACTTTTTTCAAAACCATTTCCATTAGATTCCCCTTACTTTACAGACTTGAGAGCTCTTAATTTAATTTCTGATGCTTCACAAATGGCTGATTTTGCATGAGAAATTACATTGTCTCTCCCATTAAAAGAGAGCAGAACCTGTATAACCCATTACTGCTGTAATATTTTATGATTTATTATATTATCCAAATACATTTAGAATTTTGTCCGTGTTTTGCAGTTTTAAAATTTATGCATGATACTTGGTTTTGTTTGAATTATTTGACCAATCTCCATACTAACATTTTAAGTTCCCAATATCAAATTCTGCAAGTGTCCATAAGGCTGTTCTCACATCCAAATAAAAAACAACATTTAACAAATTTGAGAGCCTGCTGTTTGGTTAAATGTTTCATTGCCAATTACGAAGTTCTAACTAAACAACTTTTTTTAAGCCAAGACTTCATTATAATGGAAAGCTGACTCAGGGAGCTTAGAAGTAATTTAAGGAAGCAAAATGAAAAAACATGAATGAGCAATGTGCATGGTTTCCTCTGTTTCATTGCCATGCTGGTGGGAAAATAGTTTATGGATTACGGTGGTCTCCTCATTGCTTGTAAGTCAACTGACTGACACAAGTCTCCAGAAAGTTTCCTGGTTCGTGCAGTTTTAAATGACAAATTACAGATTCTCACATCATCCATCTTCCAATTAAGAGCAGCAGGAGTAGAAATCTAAACAATTCTCCCCAGAAAGTGCTGGCTCCCGTTTGTCTGATTCCGCCTGTGTCATTCTTGAATGTGGATCCTAAGTCTCCAAGCCAATTCCTTGGCCACTTGTCAAGAGGGTTCCAAATATTTGCTCTTTTAGACTCATTATTCAATGGCAGATATTTTAACAACTTTAGCTTACATTGATCACAAATGTTTCTTAGTTTTGCTTGATTCTTTTCAATTTTATTGGAGAAAACATACAAATGAGAAGACAAAAATTAGCCCCAGAAGTAAGTTATATAGAGGTGATCACCACCTAGCATTCTTCAACACTTGTCTTCTATGAATTTATTTTTTTTAAGAAAAGTTTTAAGTTCACAGAAAAAGTAAGAGGGAGGTACAGAGGTTTCCCATATACCACCTGCCCCAACAAATACGTCTCCTTCCCCTGTTATCAGCATCCCTCACCAGAGTGGTACGTTTGTTACAACTGATGAACTTACTTTGACACATCATAATTACCCAAATTCTATGATTTGCACTAGGGTTCACTCTTGGTATTGTACATTCTGGATTCTTGGCCCCTTTAATCACACCTAATGAGTTCAAATTAACAAGGAGGAAATTTTAAACTTAGTAAATGAGGTGTCTTAAGCACAACAAATGTATGTCTGAAAATGGAAGAAACCAATTGGATTAATTGTAGGCTTCATCTCCCTGAATTTATGCGGGTAGAAGTTGAAAAATCACTTACAGGGAATATCGCATGGTGGATCCATCACTTAAATAGGAACTTGGGGAAGATGGGTGAACTCACCCTGTCGTGTTGGGACTCCACAGAAATAGGGAAAACATCAAAGACTTTGGTCTATTCAAGCTCATTTACTTCATTCTTCACCATTTCCTTTCACCGTCTGTATCTCCACATCACACTGCTCTCACACATCCATCAGGGACTGATGAAAATAGTGTTATCCAAATACGATTATTACCAATGACTGTGTGGAGTGGGCTGATATAATAGGCATTTTTCTGTGTCTGGACTCCTTTCCTTCAACCTTGCACTGAAATCCCTAAAGATGATAATAATAAAGTGGTGGTAGATTTGGGCATACGTGTAACACAATTAACAATACATACTAGTGATAGGCTGCATAACCACACTTGTTAGAATACAACAGTAGTAAAGCTCGATGATCCAGTAAGTGGGAGGTCCTCTGTATGGCTGGAGGCAGCAACCTTAAACTCTCTGGAAGTTTGTCTACAGAAACAGGCTATGAACCGTGCACCCAAAGCAGCTCTCAATCTCTGCGCTATTTAACAAATCGCTCTGCCTCACCAGACCTCAGTCTGTCCTCCATGACAAAGGGTCTCACCATCAATTATCCTTGAAATCCTTTCGAGTGTCAACAAACTGTCTCTATGTATCTATGATTCTACTGCTGTGGACACGTGTCCACACTATGGAGCTAATTTTAAAAAGAACTGTCTTCATACCAAAGAACCTCATTGTCTCTAGGCTGATTTGACCTCAGTGGCAATAATGATATCAGCTAGAGAGTGTGAGTCATGGAAGATCAAATACGTTTAAACACAGCTCCTGTAACTGGCCTCTCTTCTGCATTGAGACTTAATAAGGACTTCACAGAAGTGGTTATACACGTTATTCGTGTTCAGATAAATAAAAATTAAGACCTCAGCGCAGCACCGTGACTCACCTAAAGAGGAGCAAAAATGAGAAAGATTCACAATGTCAATGTCAAGGACTTGCGTGAGTGTGAAAGAACTGCAGCTCCCACGTGTCGACGGCAGGAGTCAGAATGGACGGTCAGCTTTGGAAAACTGTATGGCAGTATCCAGAACAGCTGCCCTACCATTCCATTCCGACTTTTGTCTCAAATAGAACTGAGAGAATACATCCAGCCAAGACTGTAGGAAAATGATCACAGTCACATTACTTGAATCTGAAAAATAATCTAGAGCATGTTCATTGAGATGCCCCACAGCAATGAGAAGGAACTGTCACCACAGGCGAGAGCACGGAGGAATCGTACATCCATAATATAGAGAAAAATAATCCAGACATAAAATAAAAACTGAATGATTTCACTTCTATATAGTTTTTTAAAAAAATACAAAACTATCTATCATACTGGACATCGATTTGTGTTAGGGTCCACAGACAGTCTCTGAAATGTTCCTTATGTTCCATATTTTGGTCTGGGTTCTGGGTGCAGGGATGTTTTCACTTCTGAAAATTCACTTGCTATTTTATAATGATAAATAAATAAATACACACACAAACACATACATATATATAACTTTAAAAGCTTTTCAAAAACAAAGACTATTTACTATCAGATTGCAGGCAACTCCAGGATTTCATTATTAATTTTTAAATCTCTTAACAGGTTATTGTATGTGTTTTTAAGATATTCTTGTAAAATTAATAAAGCATACAACTTTCATAGAATATTTCATTAAGTGATTATCTTTTATATTACAAAAAATGTGCTGTTTGCTTATAGAATAAAGATGCTGTTAGCAACCCACAGCTCCTGGTTTTCTTTGTTGGGGAGGGGAAAATTTCCCTCTACCCCTCTTGATTCTTCAGCCTGGCCTAATAATTAATTTGACACAGACAGATTAATGGGAGAAAAAAATTTAATTTAATTTTGTACGTACACAGGCCCCAAGATATGAGACCCAAAGAAGTGACCAAAGCAGACAACCTTTACACCTTTTAGAGCAAGAAAAAATAAATTTGTGAAGAACTGACAAGACAAAAGAAAACTTAGGCTTGGGTACTAATTAGTGAAGCAACTAAGTAGAGTTTGTTTATACAGACTTCTCCTTGGCTATTGGGTAAGCAGCCACAGGCCTTACACACAAGAAAATGCGTGGCATGAAGAATAAGACAACCACTGTGAGGTGGGAGCCACAGGCAGAGAGAGGTTCATGCCACCCTTTAGAGCTGCAAGATTTCAGGGCGCAGAGGATGACCACACAGGAGGCAATAAGGATAAGGAAGATGGTCATACGCATCGCCACACTGTTGAGGATAATTAAGAGGCCCAGGATGTGGGTGTCCATACAGGCCAGTTTCAACAAAGGAAACAAATCCCAAATAAAGTTGTCTATAATATTGGGGCCACAAAAGGGTATGAGCAGAAGCTGTATTACTGCATGGATAAATACCCCCACCCAGGCCCCTCCCAGCAGCAGGCAGTGCACCCGAGGACTCATGATGGTCACCCAATGCAGGGGCTTACCGATGGCCACATGGTGGTCCTAGGCCATCATGATGAGAAGAATGATCCCCACACCACCACAGAAATGCTCCACAAGGAGCTGGACCATGTGGCCTTTGAAGAAGATGGTGATGCTCTCAGAGAGGGAGTCCACAACCATCTTATAGGCAATGACAGAGAGTAGGCGGCATCCATGAGGGACAAGACAGTAAGGAAAAATTACATAGCTGATCTCAGACTCTGACTTGTGATCATGGTGGCCACATGAGTAGGTTTCCCAAAACTGTGGACACATACATGATCAGAAACATGGCAGAGAGTATTTTCTGTGGCTTTAGGTTCTCTGAGAGACCCAAAAGAATGGATTCTGTCACCTTGTTTGGATTTCCCATTTCTCAGGTTCTGATATGACCTCCAGCTGAGTTAGAAAACATAACAAAGCAACATACACTTTATAATTAGTGATTGTTTGACTTCATATATTTCTAAGAGTTTGGGGAACTTATTGCTTATTTTTATTCATTTATTCACCATTCAAGCATTTGGCTTTTAAGAACATGCTAAATAAAGAGCTTAAAAGATAACTACTTCATTAATGCAAGGTTTCCTTCAAGGCTTTTCTCCTCTCTCTTAAAATGCTTCTTCCATGTGAGTAGGTTTTTCCTCCTCCTCCCTTTATGATTGTATTTATTAATAGCCAACTTTTTGGAGCATTACCTTACTCCAGGCACTAGAATGACCCTGTGATTAACCCTGTCTTATAGATGAAGGAACAGACTCTCGTGGAGTTTAGGAAGCTTAACCAAGATGGCGCAGCTCGTGATGGGGAAGCCAGAATGTGGAACGTGTTTTCTGACTCCAGAATCAGTGCCCTCAAGCATCAACATTGCTTCTCTAGTACTTATGCTCTGAGTGTATCATTCACCAATCACTGAGCTAAGTAACATTACAATCGTTATCCTGTTGTGTCTTCTAAACAATCTGACATGGGTTTTTCTTCCTGTGCTCTTTTTCAAACAATTCGGCAATTCTTTTGTAATTTTGTGCTTTACTTCTAAATATCAAATGATCAAAATGCATCTAACATTAGTGATTCTACAGTCCCTGACTACTACATTGTTCAGTGATGATTACAAACCATGATGCTCATGAATTGGCCCAAGTCATTTCTTTCAGCTTCCTCTACTCCCTAAATGAAGCAAAGGATCCCAGAATGTAATAATGACAGAACAATTAGCATTTAGGTTCTCTCACTATGTTGCTGAGCACTGTGCCAAGTATGATACACGTATTATCTCATTTGATAATTCGATAAAAATTATCTCACTTGACAAAAATGATACCATGTGAAGGAGGTACCATCGCTGCTCCCATTGTAAAGAAGAGAAACTGAGGTCTTGGGAAGTTAAATCTCTTGTGTAAGATTGTATAACCAGAGTGCTCTGGAGCTGGCATTTTGATTACACAGCCCAGATTCTTAACTACTGTGTTCCCCCACTGCAGAAGAGAAGAACAGGTAATGTGGTGTTTCAGGAGGATTACTATTGCAACCTAGAAGAAAAGCTACAATGATATGCCTCATATGATGGGGGACATTTAAGCATGTCCTAGACATTTTGCAAAGAGCATAGAGTCCAACTGATATTTGAATTGTAAAATTCTGTGATTGCCAAGAGCCACTCTTGCTATTCAACAAGAGTTGGGTAGCCCCACCCCACCCCACCCCTTACACGAAATGCAGAGCATCCCCTGGAGACTGTGGAAGCGCCATTTTATTCACATGACTTAATCTCATCCTCTCCGTGCTAGCCAAAGAACTGAGATCTTTCTTGCAAGAGCCTTTGTGAACTATAAGGAGCACTGGCTCAGGAGGCAGGAAATGAGAAGTGGATTTTCTTCCAGGCTGTGTCACTAATGTGCTCTGTTCTTTGGGCATGTTGCTGGCACCTCTGATTCTGTTTCTTCATTTGCAGCATAAGGACAGTCCACTAGATGAGAGCAACAGAAGAGACTCTGTCCTCTTCACACACAGACTCACCTCTTAATTGCATTGTTTATGCCTCTGGGTAAGAGTTCCTTAAAGAGATGATTCATTTCATGGTAAGAAAAGTTGAAAGCCACTGCTCTACGTCATATCTAATGCCCCATCTGTCCTTATGGCTTGGAACTTAGATTGACTTCCTGTCAATACAGTACAGAACTGATTTTTTCTACCCAACATTCAAATCTTGTCACCAGCACCTCCTTACTATTCAACTTCATTTCTCTGTCCTTCTCACTTAATTTATTCCAATGTCATCCCACCCACTTCTCACAGACTCACACCGTTTCTTTCCATATCCACCTTTCTGTTTGCAGGAAATGTCACTGGATTCAGACACTGCAAGCTGCCCTCTAAGTCACTGGCAGGCCACTTACTGGCTTTGAAATCTTAGCCTCCTCAAGCCTCAATTTCTGTGGAAGCACGATGTGCATATTGCTGACTGCTTGAGTGGAATGCAAATGAGGCCTTTTCTCATGGAACCATGATGAACAGCCATATGAGGTAAGCACTATGATCGTGAGGATTTTCTGAAACACACCTGAGACCTGGAAAGTTGTGTGACTTCCTCACAGTTTCTTTGCAGGCCCATGACTGGCTCAAAAGCACAAGCAATTAACCACTATGCTTTACAGCCCACACTACTTTCACCTCCCGCCTCACAGAGCTGCTGTGATGGTCACAGGAGGTAACACAGGTGAGAAAGCTGTGAAAACAGTGTAACACATTGTTTTTCCAATTGTGTCATTATGCCTATAGGCTCTCGGCTTGCCTACTGCCGTCGTCCATTCCCTCTCCCAACCAACTCATCACCAGCCTCCTTCATGCGGCCCTTCCTCCTTCACCCAATGCCCGCCTTCCCCAGCCTGAATACTCATTCTACTAACTCATAAAGCTTCTTTTCTACATATCATTATTTCATGCTTCCCTCATTTCCATACAGAAATGTTTAAGGATTGCTACTTCCTTCGCATTTCTCCAAGTTCCTAATAATTTAGTAAGGATGCAGTGGACATCAACACAGTCCAAGACATTTCATCAACTGGAAGGAAGCTGCAATGAGCTGTAGGGCCCAGGTGATGCTGGCGCCAGCTCATCCTCCAGGGTGGAGAGCAGTGTGTAATCAGAGTCTGGTTGCCATTTCTCTGTCAACCAGGCACGATGATGCCGTTTACAGGGTAGTCTTCACTGTTTGCATTCCTAGATATGCTTCAGCCGAAACCAAGAACGAAACAATACCTTGAACTTCCAGTTCGGTGTTGAATCCCACCACCAGCTGCCCCCATGAGATAGTTCCTTTCACTGCGGGTCAGTGAGGAGTTGCTTTTTAGAAGGCTGTTCAAGTGAAGACAGAGGCTATTATAGTGAATACTTTTCTTTTTCTTTGCCAGTCCACTTCCTTCATGTTCCATAATTATTTAAGTAAACAACAAATATTTAAAACATTTGTCAGATGTGGTCCATTTCCTTAAATAAGGGCAGGACTGGTAAATTTAAAATAATGATAACAGAAATCATTGTGAATTAAAGAAAAGAAAAAAAAAGAAATTATCTAAGTCTTAAAGCTAGACTGTCGCTCAGAGAAAGGAAGACTAGAGCTATTCCCAGCAGAGGAAGCAACATGGGCAAAGGCCCAGTGGTGGGGATAAGAGACAGTGTGCAATGTAAAATGGAGAGCAGGGGCCTGGTTGACAGAGCAATAGCAACCAGACTAGTTCTCATTTGACTTCTGGAACACTTTTTAGCTGTGTAATTTACTAAGGAAGATTTATTCTTTCAGGTGTGCATTTGTATTTAGAAATATTGAATTCATATATTTATACATACACTTTAATAGTATAATTGTATAATAATAGGTGCACATATATACTGCACTTGACATTTTAATAAGTAATTTATCATTGATAGCATTCCATGTCACTATGTGAAGATTTATCTTATTTCAATTTTTGATATTTCAGCATTGCTGCCGTGAACATGTATATGTTTCTGTAAGATAAATTTTTACAATAGAATTGCAGAATCAAAGGGTATAAACATTTTAAATTGGAAAGAGTATTGGTAAATTCTCCTTGAAAAATGTTTATTAACATCCATAATGTATTAGACAGCATTGTTATTCATATAACTTTTTGTCTTTCTTCTTTATATCCATTTCTTCCTTTTCAGTTGTATTATTTTTCTTTTATCTTTATTTTCATATAGACATGCATTGTATATTACAAAATAATTCAGAAAAATTTTCAACAAACATTTAAATTAGTTTTGTGGATAAAAGACAGTGAAAATTATTTTTTGTAGATTCATCAATATGCTCATTTCAAAATAACGACCGTAATGACAATAATTAGCATTTATTAATCTTAGCAAATTTGTCCCTCCCTTGAGGTCACAGAGTTAGTGAGTGGTACAGAGTTTGGATTTGAATTCCAGGAAGCCTGACTCTGTGGCTTCTTTCTTTCTTAGTTCTATTTGACATATATATATATATATATATATATATATATATATACACACATACACATAATTTCTCCAGTGAACACTTGAACACCTAGGTGGTTCTAACCCTTACACTTGGATTGCCAATTTTCTGTGGCATGTGCTCATGGAGCCCTGTGAGCAACTAGACAATTCAATTTATCACTGACGGACTTCAAAACAACTCCTTCATAGAAACACATGCCCAGTTCCTTTCTCTTTTCATAAAACTAAGAACTAGCTAGTAGGAGTGCAGCTAACTCCAGTAGAATTTTGCAGGATAGACATGTCAAATAATGTTCGAATTTTAAAAGTTAAGGTCTACTATAACTTATTTCTGTTTGCTCAGGATGCTCCTCCATTTCTTCTATGGTCAACACACTAAACCACCAGCATCAACAACATCACCATCGCCATCATTGTCACTGTCACTACAGTTCCCTATGGGAAGATCTACTTACAACTAAATTTGGGTCTTCTGTTTGACATATAGAAAAACATAAAAAAATTCAACTTATTGTTAAATTAGAAAATCAAATAAAATATTATTGACTAAATATTACAAATTTTAAGAAAAGTAATACTCCATATTTTGTTTCCCTTAAGCAGAGATCAGAGACCAACAGTAGCGAAGGAAAGAGAGAAGAGCTTTGGGGTCTAGGAAAGAGGAGAGTGAAGGGGAAGGAGAGAAATGGAAAGAGAGTGGGAGACACAGACACATACTCACAGGGAGACAGAGGGAGAGAGAGAAGTGAAATTGGAAAAAGGGCATCAGACTGATGAAATCCCACTTGTTTATTCTTTCTATTGTATCTCTTGTCCAAGGAGACATGGTGTCTGAAAAGATCCTTTTAAGACAGATGTCAAACAGTGTACTGCCTATCTTTACTTCTAGAAGTCTTATGGTTTCAGGTCTTTAAATCTTTGATCCATTTTGAGTCTATTTTTGTGAATGGTGTAAGAGAATGGTCTATTTTCATCCTTTAACATGTGGCTGTCCAGTTTTCCCAACACCATTTGCTGAAGAGACTTTCTTTTCTCCACTGTATGTTCTCAGCTCCTTTGTTGAAGATTAGCTGTCCATAGATGTGTAGTTTTACTTCTGGGCTTTCAATTCTGTTCCACTGATCTGTGTGCCTCTTTTTGTACCAATACCATGCTGTTTTGATTATTATGGCTTTGTCGTATATTTTGAAGTCAGAGATTGTGATGCCTCCAGCTTTGTTCTTTTTTCTCAAGATTGCTTTAGCAATTTGGGGTCTTTTGTTGCCCCATCTGAATTTTAGGATTCTTTGTTCCATTTCTTTGAAGAATGTCATTGGGATTTTGATTGGGATTGCATTGAATCTGTAGATTGCTTTATGTAGTATGGACATTTTACTATGTTTATTCTTCCCATCATCAGACTAAAGAGCTTCTACAAGGCAAGGAAAAACAGGATTGAAATGAAAAGACAACCCACCAACTGGGAAAAAATATTTGCACATCATATATCTGACAAAGTGTTAATCTCTATAATATATAAAGAACCCACACAACTCAACAACAAAAAATCAAACAACCCAATCAAAAAATGGCCAGGGGATATGAACAGATGTTTCTTCAAGGAAGACATACAGATGGCCAATAGGCACATGAAAAGATGCTCATCATCGCTGATCATCAGGGAAATGCAAATCAAAACTACACTAAGATATCACCTTACATCCGTTAGAATGGCTATAATAACAAAAACAAAAAATAACAAATGTTGGAGAGGTTGTGGAGAAAAAAGAACCCTCATACACTGCTGGTGGGAATGCAAACTGCTGAAGCCACTATGGAAAACAGTAAGGAGATTTCTCAAAAAATTAAAAATAGAAATACCATATGATCCAGCTGTCCCACTACTGGTTATCTATCCAAAGAACTTGAAATCAGCCATTCAAAGAGACTCATGTACCCCTATGTTCATTGCAGCACTATTCACAATAGCCAAGACATGGAAGCAACCCAAGTGCCATCGACCGTTAACTGGCTAAAGAAGATGTGGTATATATACACAATGGAATACTACTCATAAAAAATGATAAAATCATCCCATTCACAACAACATGGATGGACCTTGAGGGTATTATGTTAAGCAAAATAAGCCAGACAAAGACAAATACTGCATGATTTCACTCATATGTGGAAGATAAACAAACACACAAAGAGAACAGATAGTGGCTACCAGGGGGAAGGGGTGTGGGGGGTGGGCACAAAGGGTGAAGGGGCACACCTATAAGATGACAGATAAATAATAATGTATAACTGAAATTTCACAATGTTATAAACTATCATAACCTCAATAAAAAAATTAAAAAATTTTAAAAAGTGCATCAGAGAATCTTCTGGGAACTATTTTCAGATAACATTATCCACTCCTTGTCCTGCTGCCTATCAGCACTTTTTGGAAATGACCATATTTTATTTTATTTACCAATTTTTATTTCTAAGATAGAGGCCCATTCATTTAGTTTTTAAATATTTGCTCCACAGGGTACAAAAACAGATCAAGCAAAATAACTCAATATAACTCAAGTTAGAACTCAAGTATAAACTCAAGTTCATAACTCAAGTTTCCTTACCCAGAGAACAAATATGGCTCACAGATAAAGGAAACAGGTATTGAGTGTAAAGTGTTGACTATTTTAAGAGTAATATGTACCCACTTATTCAATATAATTAAATTAATAATTGTCATATTTTGGAAGTAATTTGTGTGCTATAATTATACAGAATAACTAAAATTTATTAAGTATTAAATACTTAACCAAATAATAAAGATGAGTCTTAGAGCTTAGTTTTCACAGTTGGTCAAAAATGGCAAGTTGTATAAATACCGTTTCTAAGGTCGTCTCAGTTCTAACCTAAGATCTTACCAAACTCAAGATTAATTCACATAAAGGAACTTCAAAGAGTCCAAGAACCAGGGGGAAATATTTGAGCTTGGTTTTTCTAACCATGGAGGCAAGCTGTCTGGGACATAAACGAGGGAAAAGTCATCCAGTTATTACGTATTGGTCAAATTTGTAGAACTAGGACTCTTATTGCCTTCAAAGAGAGCTTTAAAACAGAAGCCTTCAGTATTTACGATCCTAATGAATAAATAAACTTTCTGGTTTACCAAAGGATTTACACTGTCTCCAATTAAGGATGATTGCTAAAAGGCACCCAAGTACAGTGTTTACCAAATCTTTCAGGTCCCTTTTTGAATCCTAGTTGACTGCGTTCTTAGGTCAAAGTGGAAACACTGTTCATTGAGCTTCTTAGAACATACAGTACAATGTAGTGCTCTCCTTTGGGTGATGGAGCTGGGCTGTAAGAGGGCAGAGTGGCTGTTTGAGCAGCTGTGACGATGCACAGACTCGCATCAATCTAGTTGCATCTCCTGAGGCTGATTCTTCACTGACGGTGGTGCTGATCTCTAATCCAGGGAATATCCACGCACCTAATTTAATAATAGGGTGTTTGCAGGGGCAAGAGCATCACTGGGGCCAGATCAACATGCTGTTCCACAAGTGGAAATCTGGATCACAGTATTAGCCATTTAATCATTTGTTCCTGCCCTGTGAACTGTGCCTCAGTTACAGAATGGCCACATGTGCTTCCATCCGGCAGAGCCATATACTTCTTAATATGCATTGCTTTGTTTTCCTCCCTTTGGGATAGTTTCTTTTTAAAGCTCAAGAAGTTATTGAGTAGCAATTGGTATCCTTGAGTAGTTCTGTAATATAAATGGGAAGCAAGACTGGGTTCTTTATAAGAATTCCTAACTTCTCAAGATTCTCTACCCTGAGATAGTCAGACTGACTTACATTACATCCTAGGGGCCTGTTATTTCCTGATTTGCTGTTGCCAATTTTCAATTTCTGTATCTCATTCATAATTGTTTTAGCACCTCCCCCATTGAGCTCTTGTTATCTTTCAATTAGACTCCCCTTCATTAGCTTTGATATTATTTAAATAATTGTATACGCCCTGGATTAAATGGTATTTTTTTCAATACTTCCCCATGGCTGACCCTTGACTTGCTTTTGGCTGTGTGCCGGCCTCCCAGGCAGGACACAACTATAAGGTGAAGAAAAAAGAAGGCAGGAATCTTTTATTCTAATTTCTGCTACTTCTAATTTTTAGCAACAATTACAACTTCTGTCATTTTTAATGTTTGAGTATTTCTTGTAATATTCTTCAGGAATTAGAATTTCTGGAAGCAAGTGCAATTGCCCACAAATCTGAGTGAAGCAGTCCCTCGTGGGGCAGTCACCCAGCAGTGGGAATGCCATGCTCTCGCGGTAACAAACCTTGACAGATGCAGAGAGAGTTGAGAGACCCACAGAGCTTTTGCAAAAAGAAACTTATTGTTAGAATTTGATAGAAAGTATCATATTCGGAGACTCTTTACATGTTTCTCTGTCAAGTATATCATTTTGCATTTTCACGGAGGAACATTATTGCTTTTAAAAGTTTCAGTTGTTGAAGTGTCATGATTTTCTAACTGGTTAGTCAAATTATTTTTTAATGACTGAAACTGTAGTTGAAGTTGAATTAACAAAAATTATCTACAGGAACTTACACCCCGATTAAAGCTATATTCTAGAACACAGAACACTGAAGTCTAAAGATACCAATTGGAATACATTATCCACAGTTACCAGCTGTGGAATTTTGAGCATAAGTAAGTTACTAATCTCTTAGTCTTACTTGCTCATCTGTTGCCAAGAGCTGGAAGAAGATGGCCTCTGCAGGGTCACCTTCCAAGTCCCTCAGGAAGGCAACTAACGGGAGGAACTTAATGTGCATCCAGAGACCAAGATGGCGGGAGTGTGGGAAACGTGGCTTTTAGCATGCCAGCACCTTCCAAAGGGAAGATAGGTGGAATGGAGGTGAAGGGACCGATGCAAAGTGCTAAACACAAGTTTAAAATTTGGACTATGGCTGTTTACAAGGAAGAATCAATGTCTTCACACAGGGAGATCTTTAAAGGCTTTATTAAAATGGTAAGGGAAGGAAAGAAATAGATGGGGAATTCCTTGGTAACTGGAGTAGTTTCTATCCTTACTTCCTAGCACTGAATTCTAAGCCATTTAGCTAAAAATATAGTAATAAAGTGATCATTTTATCTAATGGTAAATTTTCCAAGTTTACTAAGAAACTAATCTTTTAAAATATGTAGAAATATGCATATGGTTGATAGTAACTTATACACAATGAAAGTTTTGAAAAGATTTTGAAGAGTTCTTCAAATGTTTTGGTGACATGTTGAAGACTAGTCTAGAGTTGTTTAATTTTAGTTCAATTTATTTTTATAATATAGGGCCAAAGATCTGGGTCTACCAAGTTTTTCTTTCTTTGGTTCTACACATTTTAGAAATGTATTTATTCTTTCCACAGATATTTATTGAGTAACTATTATGTGCCAGACATATTTTAGATGTTTGAGATAAAACGGTGAACAGAATAAATAAAGATTCCTGACATCAAGAGCTGAGATTCTAGTGAGGGAGAGAGAAAAATAAACAATCCACAAATACATAAGCAGATGGCATGTTTTGTTAGAAGTTTATATGTACTGTGGAAAAATAAAACAGAAGATGGTAAGAAAGACCATCAGGGCTAGTGGCAGTCTCTAATTTTAAGTAGATGGTCAGGGTGGTCTTCGTGGAGGGCATCACATGTGAATAAATATTTGAAGATGGTGAGGGAGTCAGCCATGCAGGGTATCTGGTGGGTTCAAGGCACAGCAAGCTGGCCAGTGAGGTGGGACCCCAGTGAGGAGGAGCAGATGAGGTCAGAGAGGGCGTGGTGGGTCCAGATCACACAGGGCTTTGCAGACTGTATTAATATTCATTTTTTATGAGGTTGAAATTCTTTTCCAGTTGTGTCAAGCTTTCTTTGTGAAGTAGAAAGTAAAGTCATTGGTTGAGACGGAGCAAAGGAAGGAAGACATAGGGGCTTTAATGCTAGAGGGAGAGGTGGAAATAGTCCTCTAGGACACGCAGTCCTTTATCGCTAATCGTCTTAATAGTCCTGTGGTCACTGTAGGACAGTGAGAGAATAAGTGGACTGTGCACCTGCGGGGTGGTGGTCTAGCGGCATCAAGGGCTCACTTGACATCCAGGTCATGAATTTAAAGTGAAACCAGTTAGTGTGGTCCCAAAATACCACATCCTGGGTGAAGTACAAACTGGTTAAAAATTCACACAATGCACTAGCATTTTCTGAAGACAGGCAAATCCACAAATTCCTCTAAGACCAGGTTATGTTGAAGGAGCTGGAACTTGTCTTATTATTTGACTTGATTGTAACCTGGCAGGAAGATTGCCTAAGGGCCAAATTAATCAAAGGATTGGAGAGCCACAGAAAAGACCGTTCAGCAGGTTGCCCTAATCTGAGCAAAGACAAAGTTGTGTAGCTTGTTTCTCTACCTGGTTAGGAAATCATCCTGCAAATTGGTCTTTATCTGAGCATCTATTGTAGCATTGGCTTAGCTTATTTGTCCTCGGGTGTGACAAAATTCCCACTTAAAAAAAAATGTATTGTTAACCCTCTTCAGTAACAAGCTTTTCCTTTCTCCTCCAGGTGTAGAGTCTTTGTCTCTTTATTTTTCTCTGAAAGGTCTGCACAGTGTTGTGCGTCAGTCAAAAGTTCTGTAAATGGTTCTCCAAACAGATTTCAAAACATCTTAAACGTGGCAGCAAGGCACATGTGAAAGCTGCCTCTGCACCCCGGGAGCAGGCCCCAGAGTATCATTCATTCCTGACTTCATCCCAAATCTCGCTTGCCAGCTCCGCCTGTAATTAGCAAGATTCCTCCACTTTGCTGGGCGCGTAATCATAAATGTGGTTCAGGTCAGTTTTCCCGTGGTAGATTGTTAAAGTCACTTTCTTACACAGTTTCGTTCTCCACTTAGATCGTGTTACAGCCCCAGGACCACGGTACTGGCTCGCTTCGCTTCTGCTCTTCCAATGACCATTTCCAATCTCAGAGGGAGTTACCTAAGTTGACAGATATCCGACAAAGCAGAACTACTACATTATAGGGCTGTTCCTTAAACTCCACTGGTTAGTTCCCTAAGATGAGGGTATTTTTTCATACATTTCTGATGTTTCCTATAGTCCATGAGGCTTTAAAAATTATGACATGCTCAGTTTGTAGCCTGGCTTGGGGCTGTCTTATAAGGGCCAGCACGCGAAACTTTCAGGGGATTTAGAAGGGAGGTTGTAGCTGTATCAAGTGGACATTTAAATTTGAGTTTTTAATATGTGGTACCTGGATGGGAAACCATGAGATGGAAGTTCCCTTGTGACGAAACTAACATTTTACAATAAGGAAAAATGAGTTAAAGTTGGCTTTTGCTGACATGGAAATCATATTATTTGTATTTGCACATACGTTTATCGCTTCTGGTGGCCTTCATTGCTCTCAGTGCATCCAGACTTCCATCTGGCGTTATTTGCCTCTGACTGACGGGCTTCCTCAGCCTCTCCCGTGGTGAAGTCTAGTGCTGATGACTTCGTGCATCTGAAAGTCTTTACTTCGTCTTTATTTTTGGAAGATAGTTTTGATGCATTAAATTCTTGGTGGACAATCTTCGTTTCAGTACTTTAGAGATGTTGCTCTGCTGTCTTCTGGTTTACACGGTTTCCGGCGAGAAGTCTGCTCTAATTTTTATCTTTATTCCTCTGTACGTGAAGTGTCTTTTCTCTTTGGCTGCTTTTAACATTTTCTCTTTATCACTGTATTTAACCAATTTATTATGATGTATCTTTTAGTGTCTTTTCTTCCAGGATTTTTGTGCTTGGTGTTTATTGAATTCTTGGATCTGTGGATTTATAGTTTTCATGAAGTTTGGAAAAAATGTGGCCGTTAGTCTTTTAAATATTTGTTTTCTAGCTCTTCTCCTATTCTGTGAGAATTTCAATTACTTGTATGTTAAGGCTGTTTGAAGTTTTTCCGTACCCCATTGATGCTCTGTATATTTGTTTTTCAGTCCCTTTTTTCTTTGTTTTTATTTTAGATAATTTCTATTGCTATGTCTTCAAGTTACTAACCTTTTCTGCGGCAGTGTCTGATCGTCTGCAGTGTCCAATTTTCTGTTAGTCTGCCATCCCATATGTTTCTCATTTCAGTTATTGTATTTTTCATCGCTAGAATTTCAGCGTGAGTCTTTTTTATATTTTCCACGTCTCTACGTACCATACTCAACCTTGTCTCTACTTTCTTGAAAATACTTAATATAGTTATGATCATTGTTTTCATGTGCCCACTTACTAATTCTGTAATCATTGTCATTTTTTGTGTTGGTTTGAATTGATTGTTTTGTCTCCCCATATTGTGAATTATGTATCTCTGCATCTTTGCATACGTGGTAATTTTTTACTGTCTGTTAGGCATTATGAATTTTACCTTGGTTGCTGGATATTTTGCATCCCTATAATTATTCTTGAGCTTTGTTAAGTGGGATTAGAGCAGTATTTAGTTTATGGTTAGTTTATGGTTAACTTTTCCTTGCTACTGAGGCAATGCACTTCTGAATACTTGGTGCCTTATGCATTATGAGGTTTTCTATTCTGGTGGGTGGGGACCCAAACTGTTCCCCATCCTGTGTGAGTTACAGGGGTTTCTTCTGCTAATGTCATGAATCCTGCCTGAATCCTAAAGATGCTCAACATTCTAAAGATCTCAGCTCTCTGCAAGTTACACATTAAAGAATTCTCAGGGCCAGCCCCATTGCCTAGTGGTTAAATTCGGCATGCTCCACTTCAATGGCCCAGGTTTGTTTCCTGGGCAAGGACCTACACCACTCGTCTGTCAGTGGCCATGCTGTGGTGGTGGCCACATACAAAAAGAGAAAGATTGGCAGCAGATGTTAGCTCAGGGTGAGTCTTTCTCAGCCAAAAAAAAAATTCCTAAGTAAAATCAATAATAATACACTTTTTAACTAGACAGATTTGTTCATATTGAAAAATAAACATGCAAAACATGGGCAGGTAAATTTGAACATAAAATGAGAGAAAAGGGTTCCAGATATTAAAATATAGCACACAGCTATAATAATTACAAAATTGTGATATTAGCAATAGAATAGACACAGCAGTGAAACTGAACGCAAACGCTAAAATAGGACATAATAGGCATGAGATTTTGGAATAAGGTTAAGGTGGTATCTGAAATTACTGGAAAAACATTAATTATTCAAAAAGTTTCTGGGGCAGCGTATAGCTATGTGGAAAAATATTCTTTAGACCATGGTAAATAAAAATAGATAAAAATTGAAATGGAAAAATGTGTCAACGTGTTCGAGGAAACTATGGCAAAACTGTTTTACACCTTTACAGCAGAGAAGGCTTTCCAACAAGGATGCGAGGGCAGATGGAAGTGAGAGGCCTTCATAACGAGATTAAGCAGATGGGAAAGTTTACGACTAATGAGAAGGGCAAAAGGACGCTAAAAGTGATCATTTTCTTGAAATTATAGTGAGGAGAAGGATCTGTGCTTTACGTCTTGGGAACCTCCTCTGGTCATGTGAGTATGTGTGGAAAGATATGAATGATCAAGAGAGTCCAGCCTCGTGTTCTCAGAAGAGCTCAGCTTCCTGTGATGTTTGAGAATTTAACTGTTCCCAGATACATTTTATGCCTCAGTCCATCCAATCCCTAGGATTAGGGGGCAGGGTGGTGACTGGAGAAGCAGGCATGTGTGGCAGCTGCTGCTCTGGGCTGGGGTTTCAATAAGCTTACTGGGGTCAGGGGTCAGAGAAAGATCGCAGTTGGGGACCATCTTGTAATCTGAGCCTTTTTGCATATTTTACGTGTTGACATTCGTTCTATAAGCAAGTGGAGGTATACATATGTACTTATTTTTGCAAGAGTGAAATGCTCTAATGTTAGTAATGATCATGAAAGCTATAGTACTGAATGGCTCAAAGACAGTTAAGATATTTCAAATAGTTAAATAAGAAAATAGATTGGTAGTTAATGTAAATATTAAGAGAGTACGTTGGCTACATACAATATTGGGAAGAATGTTATAGCCTTATTGAGCCAAAAAATGTTTTCAAAACTTAATTTTAAATCAAGGAGAATAATAGTGTTCAGAATATGTCAAAATTCTAATCTTAACATAAAAGTTTGATTTTTAGCACTTAAAACATCAGCAAAAATAACTTTTAAGAACTATATTTTAAAATAATTTATTTAGGTTAGAGATCTTTCAAGAAAAAGCACTCTTTGGAAATTCTTCACACTGGATAGTGGTAAATTAAAAAAAAAAAAACGAGCGTCCTCCCTGGTGGTGTAGTGATTAAGTTCATGTGCTCTGCTTTCTTGCCCTGGGGTTAGCTGGTTCGGGTCCCAGGCAGGGCCCTATGCTTATCAAGCCATGCTGTGGTAGACATTCCACAGATAAAACAGAGGAAGATGGACACAGATGTTAGCTCAGGGCCAATCTTCCTCAGCAAAAACAGGAGGATTTGTGGCAGATGTTAGCTCAGGGCTAATCTTCCTCAAAAAAAAAAAAAAATCCACTGTGCCATCTCAAAATATCAACAAGAGGAAAATTCCCAAAATGTACAATAGCATACATGGTAAATTATATTTACAAAATAAATCAAACATAATAAATAATACAAAGAGTATGAAGAAAAATAGTTAGGAAAAATAAATTAGCTAAGGTCATTGATCAAGCTTATATGAAGGCAGCTGGTTGGTTTTGTCACCTTTGACAGCCCAGATGGGAGCATAAGTGCCAAATATGTGTTGAATGTCATTTGTTTCCATTCCAAGATCCCATAGGCCCTCAGGTTAGAGTTTGCTAACACCAACATGAAAGTAACCAAGAGCAAACAAATGATGACTCAACTGGAGTCCACACCAATCTGAGAGCACATTTCATTAGGGATTCCTATGACACAGTGGGAGCTCTGATCCCATCTTCCCAGAGGCCTGGGTCCCCACACAGTGTGCCACATGGGGCTGATTCCAGGTATCACCAAGATGAGTCGACTTTACTGTCCAGCACTGATGTTACAGAGACCCCCCCACACACTCAGGTGTGCTAGCATGCTTCTCTGATGCCACACAGCAAGCGCATAAATCTTGGCAATTGTTAGTTCTCAGTCTTGTTCCAATAGCTGGGAACCATAGGTCAATTTCTGTTGCAGCATGCGCTGTCGGGAAGCAATCCAGAGAGATCATTCTGAAAATCTTTGTGGGTACCAGAAGTGGTACCTACAGCATCCACCATCCCCAGGTGGCTTCATGAAGAGCTTATTGTCCTTTGCTCCAAAGACTGTGCATTTTTAACTTGACTCAGTCTCCTGCATCTTAACTTTTCTTGCTCCTCTTCCTCCTTCCTGCCCTATCCTGGAAACTTTCAACATCTCATTGGAGGAATTCACCAAAACCCCTTCCAATGGTCACCATTCTCTACAAATGTCCAAACCAAACAAAAAGTAAAAGTATTTTTAAAAGATAAATTTCATATACTTTAAGCAATTTAGATGTTACAGAATTAAATATTACAATTTAAATATTTCAGAGCTGTACCAGCCCTATCAGATAATTTTATTAGTTTGAAGCAAGAAGAAAAAATAGGATTCCATTCTTTATCAGTGAGGTGCTAGGTTAAGAAAAATAAAGGAAGAAAGCAGTTACGCAATTTCATTTTGCTTTGTGCTCCTCTTTGCTTGTTGCTGAAGTGATTTACTGTCAGTTGCAGCTGTGGTTGTCATGTCTATGTTCACATTTTAGAAAAGAGTTTAGTATTATAATTATTGATATTTTCAGAATGTCAATCTGCTTAGTATTTCATATCCAAAGAAAACCAAAGGGAAAAAAATAAAACAAATGAGGAGATATTCTCCCAAGTAACACCTAGAATGTTTGCCAATATTTGGGAGTAAATTTTCACACATCAACCATGAACCTGATGCCGTGACTAGTTTGTAGTAGCACCATCCTGCAGGTGGGACATGGCAGTACCCTCTCAGTTCTACCTCTGAAGGGCAGAGATGCTGGAAATGACCCTGATGTAGGCCGTTAGTTCTGCAGCCTTTCAAATGCTGGAGTCTCAGCTGATAAATATTTGGGCTGAATACTGAGGCTGAAGCTGGACTTCAGAGCACCCTTATTTAAAAGTCTTCTGCAAGATACTCAAATTTGAGAAACAACTGTCTACACAGCAAAAAGGCACACTTAGGTTTCATGTATCTAAACAACGGAAACTTCAAAGGGACACACAAGTTTTAAATGTGAAGATGGTGCTGTGCCATGTTCTGGACAGGAAGAGGGAGAAGAGTGATCTCAGGAAGAGGGTGTGTGAAGACAGAGAGTTGGCGTGAACTTGTGGACTGGGGAGAAAGGAAAGAGGCCTCAGTCACAATTCTTGATTGGGCAGGGCACCTGAGACAGAGACACCATTCAAAGTGGCTGCGGTAATGTCTTCAGAGAACCTTTTGTTATGTTGGGGGAATTGGGGCCTGCCAGTAAGAGTCGTCTTTAGTAGCTCAATAGTAGGATTCAGCTTCTTGCCAAGAAAGCATTCATTGCTAGAAGAAGTTATCACTGGGGAGTTGAGAAACAACAGTGCTTGTTAGCATGGAAGTGATTCTGGCACCAAGCATTCTGAATAATTAAAGTGTTACATCGGCCTTGGAGACCAAGAGACCCTGTTGGAAGGAGGTATTGACCACAGTTGGCATGTACCTCAGGGAACGCACTTTTCCCTTCCATGCTTCATGAGCCAAAGGCAGGGCTGGCATTCAGAGGCATCTCTGTAGGTCTGGCTGATCTGAAGACTACATCATTGTCGTTGACTCTATAGCTCATGACCACCAGAAATTACACCTTAGAGAAACACTCGGTATATATGTATAAAAGTCTATACACTGGCTAGTCAATCATATTGGATTTTTTAAATTAAAGACTCTTCTTTTAGAGCAGTTTTAGATTCACAGCAAAATTGAGAGGAGATAACAGAAATTTCCCATATACCCCCTGCCCCAACACACACATAGCCTCCCCTATTGTCAACATCCCCCACCAGAGTGATACATTTGTTACAATTGATGAACTCACATTGACACATCATAATCATTCAAAGTCCATAGTTTACTGAGGGTTCGCTCCTGGTGCACATTCTGTGCATTTGGACAAATGTACAATGACACGCATCCGTCATTACAGCGTCACACAGAGTTGCCCTAAAAATCTGTGCTTCACCTGCTCATCTTCCCCCCACCTCTTCATATTGAGTTTGTAAATTATGAAATAGGATGTAGGTAAGTCTATCTTTAATTAGGCCATCCTTTTTAATTCTTTGCTTTTAAGGAATTTCTTATAGGCTAACGTACCTGCAGACAGAGTCTGCCATTAGAAGGTACCAGGTCCACCAGGGACATGGGGTCCTGGAGGTTCATCTATTTATAGAGCTCTTTAACATTCAATAAGAGAGTAAAGATGGTACATCTCATTATCATTTTCCAAATAGAAGATGTTATTCTACTTGGCTAGGCTTTTGAGCCCAGGTTATATTCCAGGGAACAAAGAACTTTATGATATCAGGCAATACCCTAAGATCCTTCATTACCATGCCATTCCTAATGTCTGAAGTCATCTTCAATTAAGGTAGGTATGTAGGAGTAGATGGAAATTTTTTATAAATATACTTCTCATTAATAAAAGCGTAATCATATACCTCAAATCTAACTTTCTAGATCACAAATTTTAATAATAATTAATAAAGAAGGCGAAGTCTTCCTGCCTCAAAGGAACTCTCTTCCCTTCACAGGACATTGGTCTATTTTAGCATTCAAAATTTTTATTCCAAATATGACAATAAATTGGCTAAGAATTGGCATTTTTAAACTGACATTAAAAAATATGAACCCAGCTTGTTTTGCGGGTTACAAATGTATCCACGTTCTTAATTAAAACAACAATACAGAACATTTATCTGCTTAATCCTTCTCTCATCATGTGGAGGTTTTTTGATCTGTTCATAAATATTCCAGTCCTCTCCTTTCTTGGCACATAGTTAGGCTGCATTTCCTGGACCCCTTGTGGAAGAGTATTATGCTATCTTATAAAGCTGAATATTGCCACATCCTGCAACATATCGATTATGCCACATCCTGCAACATATCGATTATGCTCCTAAGGGATATGTTTAAAAATGTTCATAGTTACTATGCATAATAGTCAAATATTCATTGACAAGATAATAGATGAGCAAATGTTGAAATAAGCACACAATAGAGTATGTATAGAAGTGAAAATGACTCTACAAATGCATTCAACAACTGATGTAAAACTTTAGTGTAATGTTGAGTGAAAAAATAAAAACAATTCCAAGAAGTCTGCATCTAGTATACTAATTTCTTTAAAATTCAAAACCAGGAAAAACTAAAAAACATACATGTGTAATAAAGATACTTTATTTTTAGGAAGCAAGATAATTGTACAATTAAAAAGTCAGGATATTGGTTATCTTTAGGGTAAGGCAGGGGGCAGGATATGGAAAAGGCTAAGAATTTAATTATTGGCAGTGGTAGGCAGGTACCATCTTAGGATGGTAGTAAGTTTACAGGTATTCATTATATTATTTAAATAAATGTACAAAGGCTATAATATAAAATGAATAAGATAAAAGATGGTAAAATAGATTGGAAATGGGTGAATTCTATAGCTGAAATTCTATTATAAGAATGGGTTTCTTCTACTTGCCTGTTGTCTCTGCTTCCTTTTATGTTGGCTCCATTTTCAATCAAGCTGTCTTCACCCATGATCAGATTATGAGCAGGACTTTCATGTCTGTACTCTCAGAAACTATTAGGAAAAAGAATAATGACTTTTCTCAGGAGTCCAAAGAAAAGTACTGAACTTGCATCTCATTTGCTAATAGACACATGACCCAATCATTACAACCTGGGGAAGTACTTTCTGATTGATCACACAGGAGTGACATTCCCGTGTTTGGGAGATAGCACTACTCATACCTCATACACTGAAAAGGGAGAAATTGCGGTTTCTCAGAAGAAAATCAAGTTTCAGTTGCTCCAAGAAGGAAAATGGACTCCTTGCAGACAAAAACAGTCAATTCAGGGCCTACCAAGACAGTTTTTATAACTCATCTTTAGCATCCTTGTGGGGAACGCAGGATGTATCTACAAAAGTGTTTAGATACTTTGACAGCAAAACAGCAAATGTCCACCAAAGGTTGAGTGCATCCTTCTTATGGGTGCTACGCTCCACACCGCAGCATGAGAGATACCACACTCCATTATGGGGACAACCTGACATTTTCAATATCCCAACTGATGTCTCCCAGGGCTGTTGATTCTAAAGGCTATTGAGGCACATAAATGAAAGGATTCCTAGAGGAGTATTTGTTTGTGTCTGAAGGCTTGACCTCACTTCTATCTCTGTATTAAATCAGTGGTCTTAGTGTAGCTTAGAAAGAATCTCTTAACTTATTTTATTTACCATTATTACATAGGTACTTTTTCAGAAAAGGTAATTATAAATTGTTACTCAAATTCTTTTCAGTTTGGTTTGAATTGTTTAATTCATTTGTTCACTTACTAAACAATTGATAATTTAATGCATAATGTGAACCATTGTTTATAAATATTTACTATTGTAGATATGGTGGAGAAAAGATCGTCACAATCCCCACCCTCAATGAGTATTTGCAGTTTACAGAACTCGATAAGAGTTTGAAGAAAACAATAGGCTTTTTTTCCCCTGGGTTCTGGTCTTTATGCAAGATTTTCCTATTTTTAACTTCTCATTAATGGTCATTTCAATCAGGATTGCGTGCATCTGGGTTTCAGACACTGGTGCTCATGTGGCTTTCTTCTGCAGAAAATTCACTTACTTCTTGAAAGGCTACTCCTTTGGGTTCCATTTCACTGTCCTTTCATGATTTTACTCATGATTCTCTGAGCATGCTTCTTACAAGTCTTCAAAAATTCTTTTAAATGCTGACCTAACCCTACATTTTGTTGTTGGCTCACTTCTCCAAACTATCAACCTCTTTTCTTTGGGTGGCCTCACCCAATCTCATGATTTAAACTATCATTTACAAATGATGATTCCCAAATCTAGTTCTACAGCCCTAACTTGAAATTCATCCTTTAAAAACATCCAGCTGCCTACTGAACATTCTCCCGTGTATCTCCTATGCCTACCTGAATTTCAGCCTGTCATCATCGCCTTCTTATTCTAAACTCTTCAACCTGAGATACCATTGCTAGCCATGAGAAATTTCTTTCATCGTCATCACTTTCTAGTATTCCCTGGTTTTCAATTTAGGTTAGTGTCAGGAAAATGTGTGGAAAGAAGACAAACCATCAAAAAAGAGAGTTGTTAGTACATATCTCCATGTTGAACTTACTAAATGTGCAACTTGGGGAAGCTGCTTAACTTCTGTGAATTTTAGTTTTCTTTTATACAAAGTGTCATTGTTAATACCTACCGCATGGAATAGTATAAATGAAAAGATACGACATGTAAAGTGATAAACAGAGCTTATTATACAAAGTGTATTCAATAAATATTTGGTGAAGTAAAATTCTTCTAATAAAATGTGTTCCTTAATAAATGTCTCTTTACTAACATTAGTTTGCAAAACAGATAGAAATGAATTGGAAAAAATATGAGATAGCTATTCAATGCTCAGTATACATATTAACCCTCAGAGCACTTGCTATAAGTCTATGGTTCCTTGGTGAGGGGTGGCTATAGCACACAGACTGGAACCCCTCGTTTCAGGACACCCTATTGCCTTCCCTGCATCGTACTCCAAATAAGTTACAAGAGCTAGGAAGGTGTGTCTCCTAAAGGACAGAGGGGTAATATAGGGAACTAGGTGGGAACAGATCCACGTCCTCTTTTACCAAAGACACTGTTTTTAATTCTTCTCATTCTCTTATCACCCTCTCCGCTATCCATTTGTTTTCCTCTTTCTCCGTTATCTTTGGTCAGCCTGACACACCTAATACTTCCAAATCCTCATTTGTATTAGGTTACTGAGTATGAAGAGGGTTAACTTTCTCTTCTGTGGACTAAATGGACAAACCAAAAGTTAAATTTATGACAGCATTTGGGATGCTTCTGATTAGCAAAGCAAAGGAAACCTTATGGAATACTACTCTCTAGGATGCTTATATTTTACATCATTATGTCTTAACATATTCCCTCAGGAACTCAGAATGGGAATTTTTTCCAGTATTCTCTGGGGTAGCTGCTTTCAGAAAGAGGCGGAAAGGCATGACACTACTTTAAGGTGTTCTAACAGGTAAGTGACAGATTAGTTACGCCTTTGTACTCAGAGAGGCATCATTACAGAATAATGCAAATTAATTTTCAAGTATGTTTTATATGTCTTGTAACTGTATTGCTCCTAGTTCCTCTGAGAAAGGAACAGAAAAAAATGAATAATGTTTTTAAAAGTTTACTGTTAATACGGTAAGTAAATAGAATGAAATATAAGCTTTAGAATAAAACAATCTTTTGAACTCAAGAAACATTTTATGAGTACCAGGTCTGTGACAAGCCATCATTGTGTGCGTGGATACAGGGATGCATTTCATGTACAAAGGTTTATTAGGGTTTCTTGAGAGGGCAGAGTGTAGAAATTTCACAAATGCTTTTCATGTAAGGCAGCTGAGCAAGATAAGTCCTCACTATGGGTATTAAAAGTTACAAGAGTTTATGCCTGCCTAGAAATTCGAAAAAAAGCTAATAGATGTAGTGACCGTCACATAGCTTCTGGATAATGTCATCTCCAAGTGACAGTTTTAAATAGAGTGTTGTATATCACATTATAGAGTTATTACTCTTTGCATGTTCCTAAAATGATATCATAAGAATATAATTTCCCGTTGACATGCATCTCAGATTTAGTTTGAAAGCTGAATAACTACTTGTCATAGCAAGTTCAGAGGAAACATGACAATGTGGAGGCTACATAAAGAAGGGGAAAGGTAATGTGTGGGAGGGGAGTTTTTGTCATTCTTTAATTTGGGCTCTTGAAGGATAAAAAAGTCCTGAGTCAACCTGTTAACCTTCCCACAGAGAATGATAAATTTTGTGTAGAAATAAGAGGAGGGATTCTCCCGAAGGCAGCAGTCTAGCGTCACCGAATCAGGGAGGGTTGGGCAGTTTAAGAGAGAGTCCTTAAGGAAAGCGAAGATTCTTACTGTGGCCTCTGCAATGAAACAGATTTTTAGGATGGAAGGATCCACCTAACACTCTATTCCACCCTCATCTGTTTCCACCTTCATCTCTCTGCGTTTTCAGCTCTTCTCTGGCACCTCCACACCCAACGCATTATCTGCTTATTATTGTTTTGACAAGTTTAGCCATTGTAAAGTTGGCTAAACTTGTCTGAGGTAAGGCCAATAGTTATCAAAGACGTACTATTTTATTAGTATGGTTTTGTCTTCAGGTCATTGTTACTCATTTTTGTGTCAGATTCCTTTGAGGATCTGATGAAAGGTGTTAAAACACCTCTGGGAAAAAATGGACATAGGGTCATCCACAAAGACGTGCACAAAAACATATCAGGAGGATATGAAAAATGTCAAGGCTCTCCTTGCATTCTTTAAGCACCAAGGATTCATGTAAAAAAAGTCGAATGCTTAAGATGATCATTTTTATGGGTGTCAAGTCCCAAAATCTTACATGGCTGTGTTGTGCTGTTCAGACTACAACACCTTCTATTCCAGATTGTGGAACTGATTTACTGAGTTATTTAAAATTGATCTCAGTTTTTTCCTGAATTTATAAATTGGGAGTATGTTTGTCTGTCTACCATACATAATATGTAGAAGGCCACAGTATTTATGTGAATGCATTTTGTAATGAGAATCTTACTAAACCAATCAGATAAATATCATATGTTAAGAGGTTATTGAGAACGTTCAATTTAAAAACATTTACTAAGCACCTACATTGTACAAGGCATTGGGTTTTGCACTGTGGAGGAAAAAACTGAGAATATGTAACTTTCAAAGATTCTCATTGCAAGAAGGAAGCTAAAGAGAGAACACACTTAATTGAATCTAAATAATAGTATGGAATATTATAAGAACAGCGATAAGCTGTTAGAGAGCAGGAGAGAAAACTTCCTTTATCACAAAGCACTTACTGGAGGCCACCAGAGAAAGTTTCTTAGCAGTTGGGCCCTGAAGTTTTAGGACAGTTGAAGTAGTTAGAAATGAAGTGACATTCCAGGAAGGAAGGAGACTACTGATCAAACTGTAGATTAAATATTTGATGAGAACTCAGAATTATTAACAAGTTAATGAAAACATAAGCATTTATGATTCTTAATTTATCTTAAAAATATATGTCCAAATGTATAAATAAGCTTGTTCTAGAAATGAGCATTCTAATGGGATTGATAACATATAATCAAAAGCCATACCCTCAAAGGAGTAGCCATGATCGTGGGTCTTATTTTCAAATACAAGTATTTCACGATAGATCACTGTTTCAAGTGAATAAGGAAAGAATGAGCTTATTGTGCAGATTAAGGTACCAAGGCTCAGTTTCCTCATAGTTGAAGACTTTTGTCAAGGATTTCATAGTCCAAAGAGAATTTTTTAAAAAATCTGGTATCCTAAATTACGTCATCAGACCTTTTCCCAAAGTAGCTTTTGATTTGGAGGAACATAAGGTATATTTTTTGTGTGCTGAGGTGAAGAAAGTTTGCCAAGAGAGAGGAGAAAATATACGCAGGAAATTTTGTATCTCTTTAGTCTATCAGAGTCTGCGATTCAGCCACTTAGAACTTTCAAGACAGTGTGTTGAAGGTATGGATGGGACTGAGGAAGAATACAATGGGATAAGTAAGTCTTCCAAATTACATTTAAATCTATCACGTGAGTTCATATTTTTACTTGCATATGGTCCCCTTCAACATTATCTTAACAAGAAAGATCTAGAGGAAAGGTTTTGCTTTTAAAAATGAAGCCAGTGATAATATTCCTTTCTAAGTTTAAAAAAAGAAGAAACACATTTCCAAGTTAAGTAATCATTGACTTTGCCAGGGACAGAAAACAAATTGAATGAAGTCAGTTACTGACTATCTGCTGTTCCTTTCATCTAAAATTATATCTCCCTCCCTCTTCTGAGTCTCTGCTTTGTTACAAGAATGTGGGGTTTTCAGGTACTTGGATAATACAGATTACAATCATGGTCTGATCCTACACCAACTGCATGGTGACATCTCCTTAAATGACTTCAGGTTGAAAATGTTGAAGCTAAACGCTTGAATTGTGAAAACAAGGACTATTGAGTAACAATACCCCTCTTTCATTTATATGTAACCTTAGGGCTTTGGGTCCTCTCAGGGGTGTTTTTCAGAAATAGGAAAAAGAAAAACAGAAATGAGGATATTTGAGATATTGCCAACTATCAAAGAACATTCACTTCTCTATGTTAGTATATGTCAAATACTCAATATCCTAAAGGTGCCTCAAGGTAACGGCATATTATTCAGAGGCTGTGTTTCCTGTTGCTCTTTTCAAGCTATAACATCTGGGAATGAGTGTGCAGTAAAGGGGAGCATATTATATTTTAATAGATATTTCCATTTCTAGAAAGATGTATAACAAATATATGATGATAAATATGTGTATAAAGAAGACACTCTTCATGGGTGGGAGTCGGGTGTGACTTTACATTTATATCATGAACTTCCAAAAGCAGTCCAATAGATCCAAAATGCCAAATGATGCCACATCCAAACATGGACCCCAATTTATTGAATATGGAAAAATAATTAAGTTAATAATAAAATGGAGCCATCCCTTTTAACTTTATATTCATCGAATTAGCAAAATTAGTCAGAACCATGTAAAAGCCACAAAGGGCTGTATTTGAAAAGTGTTATCAGAAAGTGTAACATTCACAAGCTTATTTGAGACTCTCAATGACCCTATGACGTGGTCCTTACAAATTGTGGAACAAAATGTTGAGGTGACTTATTAAGAAACCACAGCTAAAATGTCTACAATGAGGAAAATTTATTTTTCTTAAAATATTTGATAACATCGCATATCACGCCGTGAATGAATTTCTTTATTTTTTGCAGATAAACCATTTCACTCTGACTCCTTCTCCTCATTCGAGAAATCATGCAGCTGAACAATAATGTGACTGAGTTCATTCTGCTTGGGTTGACCCAGAAACCTGTTAGGAAGAAAACAGTTTGTCTCTTTCTTGCTTCTCTATTTGGGGACGTTGCTGGGTAACTTTCTGACTATTGCTACCATCCAGATCAGCCAGGCGCTTGGGAGTCCACTGTACTTCTTCCTTTTCTGCTTTTCCTTGTCTGATACCTGTTTCTCTTCTTCCATATCCGCTAGAATGATGTGGATGTCCTTTTGAAGAAGACCCCTATCTCTTCCAGCGAGTGCATGATCCAAGTCTTTTCTTCACATTTCTCTGTCTGCCTGGAGATCTCCATCCTAATCATCATGGCTGTCGATCACTGTGTGGCCATCTGTAAGCAACTACCCTACACAATCATCATGAGCCATCAAGTTTGCGGCGCCTTGGTGGCTGTGGCCTGGGTGGGGTCCTGTGTGCATTCTTCAGCTCAGAATTTTCTGGCCTTGAGTTTACCTTTTGGTGGTCCCAATGTGATTAGTCACTATTTCTGTGACTTGTAGCCTTTGTTGAAACTTGCGTGCACAGACACCTACGTGGTTGACCTACTCTTGGTGTCCCACAGTGGGGTCATTTGTACAGTGAGTTTTGTCATGCTGATGTTCTCCTATGTTGTCATCTTGCATTCTCTGAGAAACCACAGTGCTGAAGGGAGGAAAAAAGCTCTCTCCACCTGCATCTCCCACATCATTGCAATCATCTTGTTCTTTGGTTCTTGCATACTTATATACACACGCCACACAACCACCTTCTCCGTGGATAAGATGACAGCTGTGTTTTATACAATTGGAACACCTTTGTTCAACCCTCTGATTTATACACTGAGAACTGCAGAAGCGAAAAATGCCATGAGGAAGTCATGGAACAAGGAGTTGATCTCAGATGACAAGACAAATGGAAGTTTCAAATTTTTCTTCATAATTCGTATTGATCTAGGAGAAGTCCATACAGAATATTATCTTCTTATCGTTGAGTAAATATAATCCTAAATTGGGTAATAAGAATTAGTTTCTTCAGGAAAATAGGCAAATGAACACATATATTGATTAGTGTTGAGTCAATTTTGTGTAGAAGTAGAGACAGCCCCAGGTAGAAACAGCCACATAAGACTCATGCCTCACTCCGCCTCCCTTGCCTGCCTAATATCACCGTGGTTTTGATCTAGTATTTTCTCTGCCCTTCTTTATATTGATTCTTGGCGTTCTCTGTTTCTACTTCCACTTCTATGTGCTTATATCCACAGCCCGGCAAGTTTTCCTCCAAATGGTTCATTTATTAACCACTGTGGTCTCATAATGTCTGATCATGAACCTTCAACTTGGTTGTTCTTCCTGACTCAGCAGAAAGCACCATATTTAAATAATTATAGAAGCTTCATATTGTGAAGGACAGTATATAATCTAGATAACCTCCCTTCAATTTCTTGATGTTATATTTTGAATTCTTACCATATGTTTACCTAGATCCTTCTAGAACAATGACAGAACATTGTGAGGAAATTCACCCTTCTGAAGGAGAGTTTTTATCTTAGGAACGTTCTGATTGTTGAGGTTGTACCCATAATATTATTCTTTTTGTAAAAATTCCTTTTTGCTCCTAAAATGATCCCTTTTAATTTGGGGAAAGCATTAAGTTTTCTCTTGGATCATACCATTTATAATAATTTGGTTATAATATTGGGTTATTATGATCGTGGCATAGATGGCCAAAATTAGGGTAGATATATTTATGTGGAATAGAAGTAAAGAATACATGCAGTTGATTATAGGGAATTTGAAAATGGTTATAGGGAATTTGCAAATGATGACTGATTAAAAGAAAGAACGTTATAACCCAGAGAAGGATTTTTAGGCTTTGAAACAGAAATAGCTATATCACATATGAGTTATTTTAGCGAGTTTTAATACAATCCAGAAAAGAGAATAACTCAAGAGATACTGAGATATTTGAGTGAAAATTATATTTATGCAGTGAAGATGGATATCACCTTTGTCACCATCCATCAACACCACAGTCTCTAATTACATGATCACTAAGAATCTTTCTGATTTCAATTTGTTTTCTTACTTGTATTTTTATCCACAGAGAAAAATCAATATGAGTACTTTTGTTTATTTGGAACTTCTATTTCTATTTATAAATTACTAAATTATATTAAGATTACTAAATTAGTGTTAATTTTATTGTACTAGGAACTTTAGTATGTCTTTAACTTGAGAAAAAGATCATCTATTTCTCTGTGTGGGAGTGGAAAATTGTGAATTCCACAATGAACTCTAGTAACATAAACACATCACTTTTTTTTCAGATTCTGTGAATTTCAAGGCTAATTAATCTCAAGAAGTTTATCATTGATGACAGCTGCTACGGCTTGATCCTGCTCTTGCAAGGTTTGCACATTACTAGATTCCAGTTGGCAGAGTTTTAAGTGAAGTCTTCTTCTATTTCAAGACAAGGGAAATATGAAAAGGGGTGTATGTTGGATCCAATTTAGGCGCCTCCCCAGATGCACTCTATCTAGTATGTCTTCTGGGCATGCTTCTAACACAGAGCTCCCGTGCCCACTGTCACCACATCTCCTGCCCACAGAGATTATGGTCTAATTTTGGTCCAGGATTTTATAATAAAGATAATAGAACAACAAAAATGACCAAATGTGTGACCTCACCAGAATTTTCATGTTGAAGTCAGGGTTCCAATAAGGAAAGAGTGGGACTCTGAGATCTAAATAGACACATTTGTTTGGGGAAGGGTGAGAACCACGAAGTCAGAAATTATCTTGCGTCCTCTTGGTTGTCATAAGTAGCTTCCTCTCCCTTGAAAGAGGGGAAAGACGAGTCTTCCCTAGCCGAGACACCGTGCTGTTACCTTATTTGAAGAAGTTGTCATGCAATGACACTTTTTCTCCTCATGAGCTTCCCCCTACACCTATTGCTTCCAAACAGCTAGCCAGGGGAAAGTCGAAGGAGAGTCCAAGCAAGAACATACAATCTTGCTCTAGAAGAAAATGACATGCATGAGAAAATTGCAGGACTTGGCTACTGTGTACAAGTGTGAACCAGGAGAGCGCTTCATCATGGGAAGTCTTAACACAGAATGGCAAAATGTCAATCTGGAGTTGAGGTCTACCCAATGGGGCTTTTTCTGTAGACTGACATCATTGGAAATGCCTTGCTGAGTAACTATCTGGTTTGCTTTACTCACAGAACTATTTGTTAGATCAGTGGGAAAGAACTATAAGACAGACTTGCTCACAGTATGAAAGACCCAAGAGTCAATTTTTTTTTTTAAATCTTAGGTATTGGCAATATCTTAAATATCTGTACCATTCTTGGGTGTGATAGCTTAGGAGTGAATATGATTTGAACTTAATTCATATTTAGAAGACCCTAAAGGAAATTGTTTGAAGAAGTTGGATCGCAAAGTTTTTAGGTGGGAACTTTTTGAAGTATGTCATCAGTATGTCCATATTCCAGTGGCGATAAAAATAAGCCCAACTAGAAGAATTGTAGAGTGACTAACGTGACAACTGTGGATTAAACGTAGCTTCTATTTATTTGTTTGTTTATTTTTATTTTTATCTTTTAGCATTCTTAGAAACATGTTTATTAAAAATGTTCTTAAACACTTCTCTACCTGCATTACAGAATGGCACAACTTCCATTCACTGATATTACGCTGTTCTCAATGCAGCTTGCAGGTGGCATTCTAGAAACATCTTTACAACAGTGTTCTTAAACACTTATCTACATGCGTTGCATGATGGGTATAACTTCCTTTCACCAGTATAACACTGTTCTTAATGCAGTTTGCAAGTTCTTATTTTTTTAATGGTGATCATTTTACAATATATAAATATATCAAATTAACATGTTAAATTTACACAATGTCATATGTCAAATATATTTCAATTTTTAAAAAACATAGGTTCCTTTTAAAGGGCTGTCCTGTAGATCAATCTTGACTCAAATTTTGGTGGAACAGAGGTAAGCTTGATGGGGAGTGGAAGGAATCACAACATGTGAAATTCCTTAAATAAAAATTTATTGACTTTAAATAATTTCACCTAATGTTACACATAATAAAAAAAACCTTTGCACTTAAATACATATATATGGATATTGAAGAGTTTTCTGACATGGGGCATTCCCCTATGACTTTTTTTGATACCGTTATGGGTAGAATTACATCCCCTAAGAAAAGAATATGTCTGAGTCCTAACCCCCAGTACCTCATAATGGGACCCCATTTAGAGATAGGATCTTGTAGTGTAAGTATCTGACAATTGGGTGTTGGGTTGTAATGTAAATACTTGACACAAAGCTTTTTATTACTGAGGCGTCCTCTTCAAAGACATTTATGTGGAAGAAACACATTGCCAGCTGCACAACTAGATAAAGAGCCAGGCTGCCCCACCCATGAAGATCCCCTTTTAGAAAGCCCTGGGTGACCTGTAACTGACCATTTGAGCGACCTTGCATTTCCCTTCCTGTGCTTTAATCCCACTCATGTTTTAAATTCACCAATAGTGAACCTGCAAGCCCTAGGCACCCCACCCTTGAATCCAATAAAGGCAGAACCTCAGGTTCATGAGCGCTCTCTCTCTCTCTCTCTCCTTACCTGTGACCTCACTCTAGCCATGCCATGTATCCTCTATGACCTGTGAGTCATAGACACTTTTTTCAAAGTCCCCTGATGGTTGTTGATGAGGTGTGTTTTGCAATCATAAAAAGAACCACAAGGGCCCATCCAGTCACAACATGGGCTCCAGGTGGAGAAATGTCTGGGGCTCTCCACAAGTAGTGCAGCCCACATGAGTGCCCCCAGGCCTTCCTTGCTGATAGCATCAGTATTAATCGGGTGAGATGGATGCAAAATAGGTCTTTACAGAGGCAATCGAGTTAAAATGACGTCTTTATGATGAGCCCTAATCCAACATGGCCGTGTCCTTATAAAAAGGGGAAATTGGACACATACAGACACACATATGGGGGGAATGCCATGTGAAGACGAAGGCAGAGATCGGGTGACATTTCTACAAATAAAAGAATGCCAAAGATTGTCAGTAAACTACCAGAAGCTGGGAGAGACGCACACAACAGATTCTCCTCATAGCCCCCGGAAGGAACTAACTCTTCCAACCCTTAGATCTCGGACTTGTAGCTTCCAGAACTGTAAGACAATAAACGTCTGTTGTTTAAGCCGCCGGGTTTGTGGGTCTTTGTTAGAGCAGCCCTAGGAAAATAATACTGGTGTCCTGACAAGAACATCTGCATCTGGCTCTTTAAAGCACATGCAGTCGGAAGCTGCATTGATTTCTGTTGCTGCTGTGATAAATTACACCGACCCAGTGGCACAATTATCTTAGAGTTCTGTAGATTGGGTCTCTCTGGGCTAAAATCCAGGTGTCTGCAGGGCCATGTTCCTTTCTGGAGGCTTTATGGGATGTGCCATTTCCTTGACTTTTCCAGCATCTAGAGGCTTCCCACATTCCTTGGCGTATGCCCTTTCAACTCCATCTTCAGTGCCATTAATATTGCATCGATTTGACTATTCTTTCATTGTCACATCTCCCTCTGACTTTCTTTTCTGCCCCCTCTTCTACTTTTAAGGACCCTTGTAATTCCATTGGGCCCACCTGGACTAATGAACGAAGACGCTCCCCTAGAATGTTGCTCCCTGGTGTTACTGGAAATGGGGGGATTCTAAAATAGCAGGTGGCTGTAGTCAATGCCTGTTCGAGGTAAAGTGGATAGAATTATATGATATCAGCAAAACCAAGGTGCAATCAGGTGTCTTTTCTCGTAGGGCTCTATGACAATGGAAATTACATCATGGTGTTTCTAGGGACGAGACGGATGGAAAGCCAACTAGGTGAATAAACATGCAACTAAGATTTTGCACGGCTTATTTAGTACAGATCACATCTATGTGAAGTTTCGACTGAAACATAGAATAAATTCTAATTTATTTATTGAGTATCTTCAAGTCCAGCAATCTGTCTTCACAACAACTCTTTAATTGTCATAGTTTTATAATATACTTCAATTCTGAAAGGTACGTCTATCTTCTTTGTACCTTCTTCAAAAAGTTAGCTTATGGGGCTGGCCCGGTGGGGCAGTGGTTAAGCTCATCCGTTCCACTTTGGCAGCCCGGGGTTCACCCAGTTTGGATCCTGGGTGTGGACATGACACTGTTTGGCAAAAGCCATGCTGTGGTAGGCGTCCCACATATAAAGTAGAGGAAGATGGGCATGGATGTGAGCTCAGGGCCAGTCTTCCTTAGCAAAAAGAGGAGGATTGGCAGCAGTTAGCTCACGGCTAATCTTACTCCAAAAAAAAAAAAGTTAGCTTAACTACTCTAGATGTTAACTGTATCTGAATTTTGGATCAGATTTTAAAAAATCATGAGAACCTTTGACAGAACTTTTGTTGTAATTATTGAATGCATTGATTAATTTGGGAAGAATTAACATATTTTCTATATTGCTCTCCCCTAATCATAAACATGGCATATCTCTTTACTTGTTTCAATCTTTTTATATATTTTAACACAATTCTGTATTCAAGGAGGGAATTCTATTTTTAAGGACAAATAACCCACAGTTAAAAGAATCTTTAACTTTTTCTTTTAAACAAATCACACCACAGCTCAGAACCGTTGCAATGGGAGATTTGCTTGTGTGACGTGATACTTCACCCAGAAATTTTGCAAGAAATTAGACCACAGGGTGTTAACTTGGGGTTCATGGATGAAATTCGAATAAAATATCCATGAACTCCTTAAAATCCTATTAAAAATTTCTTTGTGTGTCAAATGTGCATTTTTCTAAAACAAAGTGATAGGAACTCAGATGGAGTAAAGGTCAGTGTTTAATTGTAATTATAACTTCGCAAACAGATTGACAAGTTTTGTCAACATGTAGGGTTAATGTTTTTTAAAAACTGAGACTTAAGCTTAACATTTTTGTGATAGATCCTAGATCAGGTTGCAGAAAGGAAGTAAGAGCTGTAGTGTGATATTCTGCCCCAAAGAAATGTTTCCTGGGACCAGCTGAGTGGCGTAGTGGTGAAATTCGGCAGGCTCTGCTTTGAAGGCCCAGGTTTGCAGGTTCAGATCCCTACGCCAGGCACAGACCTACGCCACTCATTAGCCATGCTGTGGTAACGACTCACATACAAAATAGAGGAAGACTGCCACAGATGTTAGCTCAGGGTGAATCTTCCTCAGCAAAAACAAAACAAAACAAAAGAAAACAAAAAACCTTTCTAACTAAAATATTCCAGGACTTGGTCCCAAGGGTGTATAATGAGCCTGGCAAAGAAAGAAAGTGGTTCAATTCAAAGAGACACAAGTTGTTTAAAGAGACTGAGTGAAGAAGACTTTCTAGATGTGATCACCCTCCAAGGCTGCTGTCACAAAAGGAAATGCTGGAAAGTGTGTCCAAAGGATAAAAACAGTGAGAACTCCTGGGTTAGATGGGAGGTGAACTGGGGAATAAGGTCAACTCCAGGAAGCCATCAATGTACCAGAAGCCCACACAATGGAGCAACCCTTTTCCCCACAGATCTGCTTGTTGCTCTTTCTCTCCCTCCATTTTTTCTTTTTTTTAATTTTTTTAAATGTTGGTGAAAAGGTTCTAAAGGCACTCTCTGAAACTGTCACTCAGAGGTCTCCAATATTCAAAATTATGAGCTCACTGAAGTCTAATGACATTACTGAACTTGCAGGGTTTAGCACGGATCTAGTCACTGGGAGGGGGGTAGAGATGGTGTGTGTTTTGTGCACTGCTGTCCCCTTAGCACCAATTATAGTGGTTGTGTCCTAATCAACAATCAATATATATTTATTGAATAAATGAATGATTTTTAAAATAAATCAGTAATTTCAAAACGTTGAGTGTTTCAGGCATGTCGACTTCCCCTTCTACACGATCAAATGCACAGAAGCAACGAGATGAGAAAACATCACAGAATTTATCCTCCTGGGACGTTTTAGTGATGAGGATGTGAAGGTTGCTCTATTGCAGTTCTCTCAGGAAACCCGCTCATTCTTCTTACCACCCGTGACAGGCGCCTCAGCGGAAGAGCATCTCCTACCATGGCTGCACAGCCCAGATGTTTTACACCTACTTCTTTGATGCCACTGAGATCTTCCTCTTGGTGGCTGTGGCCTATGACCACTAGGCAGCCATCTGCTGGCCCCTTCACTATACGGTCATCATGAGCAGACAGGTGCGCCATGTCC